CAGGAAATAGTATTCTCTTGATTTTATGAAAAATTTAATATGTTCTGTAAAGTCACCTCTCTAGAAGTAATGGTGCCAAATTGTGACTAATGTAAAAATAATCTGTTCATTGTACTCCTGCAGAGGTGTGTCTTGATTTAATCCTACCTCCATGTATTGGGTACATTTTTCTTCAAGAAACTGTTTGTTATTATGTAAAGAATTTATTCCTTAATTTTCATGTCTGAAAAGCTTTCTTTAAAGTTGGTCACATGCCAATTAAAATGGAATATGACTATACCATAGATTCACAATACCCCAGACTAGATAATGAAATGAAACCCATTAGACCTGACATGGGAGAAGCTAGGAGTGATTATCAGTTTTTCCATATCACCATCCTGTTTATCATCTACCTAGAAACCTCTTTTTTTTTGGTCTGTAATTGCTGCTTTAGAGCTGGAAACAAGGGTGCCGTTTGTATTAGTACTTTTACCCTCAAGCAGCCACCCCATGTTCCTTCTGCCTTCATTCCAACATCTTGGCTGTTTAGAATAACCCAAACTTTCAAACCAGGGTCCCCTTTGCTCCAGCTCACATGGTGTGTGATACTAACTTTTATGGTTAAAGATGGCAGTATTAGCTAGTCCCCTCCAGCTACTCTCCTAAGATTTAGTTACTTCTCCCTCTCATGTTGCTGTGAGTTGGCGTACCCTTATCTCCCATTAGAAATGATCCTCAGGTGTCGACATTATACTATCCTGGCACCAAATTGGCAGATGCAGCCTCAGTTTCTACTCAGGGGGAGACATGGTTACATTTCTGACTTAGGTATTGCCTCTAAGTCACCTCCACAGATGGAGGAAAATTAGCCATTGGGTGATTGGGTATAAATGTGAAACATTTGTCTTCACTTTCATCCCATAGTTCCCAAATCAAAGTTTCCTTCTGGCTGTAGGTGAAACAGCACCCTGGATTGGTTTTCCTTTGAGAGCAGAAGGATCCTGTAGGACAGCTTCCCAAGATACTTTCAGGTGACACCACCCTTGAGTCTTCAATAGGCCATTAAACATTCTAGAAGCCCAGCAAGTTCTAGGTAATGGAGTACTGGCAGGGCAGTGGATCCCATTGTCTTTGGAAGATCTGTTCACTTTTTTCTCTGTGAAGTGAATGTCTTGCTCAGAAGCGTTGGTATGTGGAATACCCTGATTGTGACTAATGCATGGACTGGGAAGCTGGTAGAATCTTGGGGTGATCTGCAGTGCTACCATTTCAATGAATATAAAATTCTCCCTCTAGCAAGGTGGAAGGAGTATAATCATCTTGCCACTAGGTGGCTGGCTAATACCTCTAAGACTGGTGTCACATCACATATTTACTTTTGCTTGCTGTTGCTGCAAAGTGGTATATGGCATTGCCGGTAATCGTGTTAGTGTGAGAAAGGGGAAGTCTGTGTGGGTGAGCCTATATGTGGCTTCTATTCCTCCATGGCTAGTTTATTATCCCATTGAACAAGCACTATAGGAATTAGGGTGAGGGGCAGACCGACTGACATACGTAGAACAAAATGTAGTAAGCGATATACCAATGAGGTTAAGAAACACCTAATGCGTAGTGGGAAGTCCAGGTCACTTGGTTACCTAGTATAACATTGTTTACGTTTAATACAGGACTCAGCAGCAAGATCAAAACTATTCCTCAAAAGGAGCATGATTTAGCCTCAGGATTCTAAGGGACTCCTGTGGGTTTTTTTCTGTTGGGGCTTGGGACTGGTTTTGTATAGCATCCTGGAGATACACAGGCACTTGAGTTACCGTTAGATCAGTGGGTCATTAAAGCCAAGTTGTAGAGCTGCTTGTACCACACTGAATCAGCTGGATAGCCTTTTCTTTGAGGGAGTTGAAGCCAGAGCTGGCAGCCTTTTGTGGCGTTTGGTAAAATGGGTTGGAGCAGCGTAATTCCCACCTAGCACTGTTCCCTACTTGTATTGGGACTCTAAAGAAAAGCAATTTGTCATTTACTTTGCAGGAGTGACAACAATCCATACAGATTAAGGGACTAAGATTCTTAACTGAGGGCCCTATGTTTTTGTGGAATTTATCCTTTACTTGCTGGCATACTTACAACCTCCCCAGGCCCCTAAGTATGTGATGCTCCTTGTTTTTCAGACTCTAAAAGCAGATATAAGCAATGTGGTGGACTAGTGCAGTGTCCCAAAGGAGGAGATGATCAATAAATATCCTTGAAAACGGGCTTGGACTGCAGAGATATGAGCATATACAAACCAAGATAAGACAATGCTCACTGCTCTTCTATCCAATTGAAAGCGAACTCCTTTTCATGTTTTCTGTTTTTTAGAATAGAGCGAAATGTACCTGTATCAGCAGGTTTATACACAGTAGTGATCTGTTCTAGTAAATATCCCGTTTTGAAGAGCATCTCCATTGGAGTCACGATCTGGAGAGGCTTCTGCTGGCCCTCATGACTTGATCTGTCTGTGTCCTCCAGGCAGGCCACTTCGGTGGGAATTAGGAGAGCTGTTGCCACTCTCCGCTCGTCAGGTTTTTGGTGGCATTCCTGCCAGTGGGACAGGAATAAGTGTTGCTCTTGGTTTACCGTTTTGTTAAGAGTGCAGAGCCCCCAGAGGCTTTCAGTTGTCTCCTTTCCTTAAATCCCTTGGGGAGGAAGGATGAAAACTGGGGCTGCTGAGTATGTCTGTTTAAAAAAACTCGGGGGGGAAATCACTGGGTGGATTTAGGCTCCCACTGGGCTTATTAGAAGCAGTTGAACTTAATTCTTTTGGTGGTGGTGGTGGTGGTGGGTGATAGCTTTTCTTTCCTTTTTTTCAATTACTGTTTGCATCCAGTATTATTCTGATTAGTTTTGGGTGTACAGCGTAGTAGTTAGATAATCATATACTTTCTCTATTTTTGTTTAATTTTGTTTACCCTCACCTGAGGATATGTTTATTGATTTAGAGAGAGAGAGAGAGAGAAACATCGATGAGAGAAACGTCCATCAGTTGCCAACTTAGGTATATGCCCTGACTGGGAATTGAACCTGCAACCTTTTGATGCTCCGGCCAGCTGAGATACCTGGCCAGGGCTTAATATGACTTTTTAAAAAGACAAGAGATGAGGTAAATCTGTTGAGGTCACAAAGAAAATACGTGACTAATTGCAAGCAGCCATAAGTTAAAAACGGCAAACAAGAATTCTCCACCCTGCAAAAGAAAAATCTACTGCCAAAGTAAAAGCAAAAAAGATTCCTTTGAAATTGGTGAATGGTTAAGCATTGCTTATATGCTATATGATTCCTCTTCAGTATTTATACTTTTCAGCTCTGACTTGAAAGCAGTGTTCATTACATCACGCTCAGTGAACAAAAGTTATCCTGTGTTTTGGAATTCCCTTGATCCCATAAATAAATAATGACTGTTTGAAAGCATTTAAGCTATATAAGTAAACCATTTATTTTAAACGAAAAGAACGGGTGGGTTGCATTATTTTTCTCTAGTTCTTGGAAATGTGAAAACTCTTTACCTTGAGATGTAACTTATTTCTACTTGACATTTTATTTGTGTACACACATGTGTGAAACTAAGGAACCCTCCCCTATTGTGAAGAGCCTTTTCTTTTTAATTGCATTGGTCGTAGACTTCTGGTTTGTGAACTTAGCATGAATTTTAAACCCCTGATTTTTAATTTTAGGTATTTTAAACCTACAGAAAAGTAAAAGTATAGTAAGTACAGTGAACTTTTTATGTACCCTTCACCTAGTCACCAATTGTTGACATTATTCATCTTTTGTTTACTATCCCTCACTCCAAATTTCAGATTCAAATTCTTCAATTGTTCCCACAATTTTTTTTTTAATCCTCACCAGATCATTTTTTTTCCATTCCTTTTCAGAGAGAATGGAAGGGAGAGAGAGAGAGAAACATTGATGTGAGAGAGACACATCAGTTGGTTGCCTCCTGCACTCACCTTTACCGGGGCCAGGGAGCAAGCCTGCAACTGAGATATGTGGTGCCCTTGACTGGAATCAAACCCGAAACCCTTCAGTCTGCAGGCTGATGCTCGATAACCACTGAGCATTACGGGCTAGGGCATCCCAACAATTTTTTAGAGCATTTTTTTTTTTTCTGATTTAGAATCTAGTAAGAAATTATATTACCTTTAGTGTGCTTTATTATTTTGGGCTTTTCCATTCTTTAATTTAGAAAGCTCCACTGCTTTCAGTTTTTTTCCTTTTGTGACACTGACATTTTAAAACTCCGAGCCAGTTGTTTTGTAGATTATCCCACAGTCTAGATTGGTCTGATTCTTTTTTCATGATTAGTTGCAGGGTAAATATTTTGGCAAGAGAAATACATAGGTCCTATGTGACTTGTGACTTACCTATTGCATTGTCAGGAAGCTCTTAGTGTCAGTCTGTACCATTGGTGGTGCTAAATTTAGTTATTTACCTTAAGCTACAAATCTACCTATGATGAGGTTAGCTCTTTTATAATTAATGTCGTCTATGTGGTGGTAATTTGAGGCCCTGTGAATATCCTGTGGTTTTAGTATCCTTTGATGATGCTTGCTTTTGAATTACTTATTACAGAGATAATTGAAAGTTGATTTTTTCTAATTCTGTTATTCCTCCCTCATTTATTAACCATAATTCATTTACTTTATATTCCAATGAATTGTGTAATTATTACAAATACTTTTCTCAGAAGTTTTAAGTGAAAGTCCACTTGCCATTGCACTAAATATTCTGACAGGAGAGGGAAGAATACAGTACTTTTGGATCATAAGTACAATTTCCTATGTTAATGCCCCCATACAGCTTCCTCTTGAAAATTAATTCGTTATCACTAATTAGATTCAAATAAACCATTTATATCTCTTTTTAACTGTTTTCTATATTTATCTTTGTTTTTCTAACTTCCCAGTTGCTTATATTAATTTCTAACTTATTTCCTGTTGCCCTAACATCTGTAACAATTATACATTTATTTTCCATCATAACAGCTGTGGAAATACAGAGGACTCTGAATCAGCTTGGCACACCTCAAGATACACCTGAATTGAGGCAACAGCTGTAAGTACTTAATTAAACACAAAGAAAAAGGAAGAATGGGAAAAATAACTATTGTTATATTCCTTTGATAGTATGTAGTGTTATGTTTACTGAAGAAAACTGGAAAATTAATAAGGTATTTCTGCTCCATTTTTTGTACCAAGCTTTAATGTAAGTCTTTCCCTGTCCAGAGTAGGCAGATGTTTGTTTGTTTGTTTGTTTGTTTATTTGTTTGTTTTTAAGATATGGCTTACTCTATCAAAGCAGAACTTCTTTGGTTACTTTTCTTATACTTTTTTTAATAGGTTGTTTTTGATGGCTTTTGAGAAATGGCACTCTTTGTTTGTTTGTGTGTGTGATTTATTTCCCATACCTAACAGTCCCTACAGTGCTACAGTGGCCAGATTTTTATTCAGTTTAGATCTAATACATATCCAATATGAACTATTCCCCCAAAGCCTATACCTACATACTTGATTTCAGAAAGCATTAGTCTCTATTTTTAAAATACATGATACTAAATTTATATGACATGTTTTAGTAAATTAATATGCTGTTAGAAGAACAGCAGTTATACTTTGTGGTGTTATAGATTTTACACTGTTTTTACACATTTTCTCATCTGAACCTTATAAAATTGGAGTGAGGTAAATCAAAAGAACCATTTTCATTTTGCTTATAAGGAGAACATGTCTATTGGGGGTTTGGTGATTTACCGAACATCATTCTGAACTTGAGTTTTAAATCTTAGCTCAGTTACAGCTACAAATTTCAAGTAACATATATGTAATGAGTAATACATCAAACAACATTAGTTTTGAAGGAAAAAATGAGGAAGAAATTAAAAGATAGGTAGTAATAATTCAGATTTCCTATGAAGTACAATTTGAAGAATTTACAGTTATCTCGAATTGATATTGTACTTTTCTGTTGTGTATAGATGTCAGGGTGACCCAAATCTAAATAGAAACAATCATTTATTAAAATAAAGTAAAATGAAATAGAAACACATAATTCTTAATAGTTACAATATTTTGTTAAGGTTAGTAGTGGAGATTCTGAATATGTAGATATCATTAAAATGTGCTTTTTAGAATTTTAATTATATTGTTGTAAAGATTTAAAAAGGCATAAAAATAGAGTACTCAAGAAATAGATACAAATAGTTTATAATTCTTCCTTACCCATCAAATGCAGATATCTGTGTTTAAACATACTCTTCTGTTAGCATCTCATTATTTTAAAGGATCCTAAGTGTGACTAATCCGTGTTTAAAATGAGAGCTAGTATGTATGAGAGGCACCGCAGTTGTAATTTATAAAGCATCACATGAATACAAGCTTATCTTAGTGTCACATTCTTTAGTTAGAAATCTTACTTTTTACTTTATAAGCTAGCTGGCAAGATAAATGTAGATACAGATATAATTTACTTTTGTTACTGTGTCCTGTTCACTCTATGGAAAAATGCTGTTTCTTTTTCTGCAGCGAACTTAAATAATAGTAAATTTGTACTACCACTTATCACCTCTTCCCCTTTTCTTTTTCTTTTTTTTTTTTAAATATATCTTTATTGATTTCAGAGAGAGGAAAGGAGAGGGAGAGAGAGAGAGAAACATCAATGATGAGAGAGTCATTGATCGAGTCCACAACCCGGGCATGTGCCCTGACTGGGAATCGAACCCCGATCGCCTGGATCCTAGGTCGTGCTCAACCGCTGAGCCACGCCTGGCTGGGCCCCTTTTCTCTTTTTAAGTATCTACAGGGTATAAATGCCCAGGCAGAGAAGTATGAGAGGCCAGATATATGTTAAGACCTGAGAACTGGGCAGAGTTTAAGGGAGAAAATCCTCTTTACTTATGGGCGACCTCCCAACTGCGGGATGCAGATAAAAGGCTCCCACCCCCGCCGGGGCTCAGACATCAGACATCCCACAGTCTCAAGCTGGCTTGAGTCGTCTTGCTTTCTAACTGGTCACTGATACTTATTTCTCAAAGCTTGGTTGCTCGTCCGTGTGAGTAAAGGACTTTCCATGTAATATTGGCTCAATGTTTATCAAAGAATAGAACCTGATAATTTTATTTTCATAGAGAAATTTGAAGCCAGTCTATAAAAAAGTGATTTTCTTATCAGACTTCATCGGGGTTGATTCAAGTGGCAGACTTGTAGCTGAAGGAAATGTATCAGTTCTTTCTCTATAGCGTGTGTTCCTCTCTCCAGACAGCAGAAGCAGCAGTATACGAACCAACTTGCCAAAGAAACAGATAAGTACATTAAAGAGTTTGGATCTCTGCCCACCACCCCCAGTGAACAGGTACCAAGCTTTAAAACACTGTTGATATATTGAATTGTGAATTGAATCAAACGTCTTATGGGATCTTTGAACTGTTATGCTAGAAAGGAAATTAGGGGAGGGAATTCTATTTGAGATTAGTTCACAGAACACAAAACTATATTTAATTGCCCAGGTAGTATCCTGTGGTTCAATGAAGCAAAAATTATTTCCATGCAGTTGCCCTGACCCATAATTAAGTAAGTGCTCAGAAAATGCCTCCTGAGTAATTGTTTCCTGGCCTTCCAGGACCCACCTCACATAACACGCACACATTCAAGATGTGAGGTTTCCTAGGGGCACATATTTATTTCCTTGCTTACTTAGTGGATGCTATTACTTAGGTAAGAGTATAAGGTTTTCTTTTCCTAAAAAGAAAGGAGGAGAACTACTTTGAAATAACCTCAAAATCATGGCCCAGATTTTAGGATGAAAATTTGAGGTATGATATTCAGCAGTATGGACTTTTTGCCTCAAGAGAAATTTATACAGTGTTTGAATATATTGTCAAAATGTTATTGAGAATCAATCAGTAAGGCCCTGTAATTGGAGAGTCAACGAGAATTTCAGAATCAAATAAAGAGCCAGCTAGTGGTGAGACGTTTGCAAGTCCTACAGAACTTCACAGCTTGATTCTAGTAGGTTTTTATCCCCCTTTCCTCTAGCGTCAGAGGAAAATACAGAAGGATCGCCTGGTGGCCGAGTTCACAACATCACTGACAAACTTTCAGAAGGTCCAGAGGCAAGCTGCTGAGAAAGAGAAAGACTTTGTTGCCCGAGTGAGAGCCAGTTCCAGAGTATCTGTAAGTATTTAAAAAGGCACTGTGAAAATGAGCATAATACTCCAGGGATCCCTTACAGGACAACATTGGCATGTTTTTTAAGTCATAAAGCTTGGAAATCAGTATTTGAGTAATTTTCAAGTGTTTCTGCTCAGTTTATAAGAAGGATGGTGGATATGTAGTTAGGTATCACTGTGGTTATTTTGTTCGTGTCATGGAACAAATGATTATAGATTATATTAAAAATATAGAAATATTTTCAGAAAAGATTAGGGGTCAAATCCTAAATAATATTCCCATGTTTACTTGAACTTGAAGCTGTTACTTAGGGTTTGTGCTAGTGTAGAGAGCACTTTACTCCTGGGTTGTATGAAGATAGGAATGAACAGAGGGAGTATATTGTACAAATATTGAAGAATGTTCACCTGAAGAAAATATATGCAAAGATAATTTAGAGTAGAATTCTGACTTGGTGTAATTTAAAATTCCCTTAGAAACTATCACAAGTTGTTTTCCTGTTCCTTAATGTAGAGTTTCCAAGGCTATGTTGTATTTTAATTAAATAACACTTATTATATGGCTCTTGGAAATATTTTTTGACTGTCATCCTTGTCATCCTAGGATATAATTTTATTATTACTTGAAGTAGTTGACCTAAAATATTAGAACAAAATTTTTCTTCTTTACACATATATTCGCATGCACACTTAAAACAGTCTAGATTATTATAAGGGGAAATGTGAGTGTTGTGTGTTTTTTCTTTGCCCCTTCTCAACCCACTGTATTACTAAATTATTCAGGGTGGTTTTCCTGAGGAGAGCACAAAAGAAAGGAATCTTGTATCGTGGGAAAGGTAAGAGATATAAAACATTATACAAATCAAAAGATACTTACTCAAATACATTTTATATTTTATGGTCCCTAAAAGATAATTAAAGTTTTCAGTATATTATATCATGACTATCCTAAATTACTTATAAATAGAAAAAAATAATAAATTTGAAAAAAATTTACATTAGTATTTATTGTAAATATATAAATATATAAAAATATTCTAGTGTAGAAATAGTACTTTATAATTATTTGTCCAAATAAATATTATTGCTTAACTATTATTTGATATAGATTATTCTCTTGTGTGGGGTTTAAGTCAACCAACAAGAAATATCCAGCTGCCAAGTACAGCTTCCAATAATTAAATCATCACTTAAAAAAAAAAATAGTACAGCGAAATGGAATAAGTGTAAAAATTTGATTAATATTTCTGTTATAGTCTTGGAATTTGAGCAGTTCTCTGACTTTGAAAAAAATATTTTATTTAGTATTTCTTTAAATAGGAAGGAAGTCCCATTGTTTTAATACAGTCTTTCTTTTTTTCCATACTTTTTTCTTTTTAGCCAGACTCAATCTCAAGTGCAGGTGCAGGATGACGAAATTACAGAGGACGACCTGCGCCTCATCCATGAGAGGGAGTCTTCTATTAGGCAACTTGAAGTAAGCTTTACATTATAGTGTTGGTGTGCTGTTTTCTTCCTAGTGAGTTTGTCCTCAAGATGCTTAGCTAATGCTGGGAGAGGGTTCAAGAAAGGAAACTATATAAATATATTAATTTGGTGGCATTTCTCATATAAATTAGAATAATTCTTTTTTAAAAAAAAATAATCTCTTTAGAATTTGTGCTGGGATGAGAGAACATACTCTCTTCCACTCTTTTTCATTTTCTTTTTTTTTTTTTTTTAGAATTCTTTTAAGTCATCTTGGGTCACCTTAGCATTGAGAAAAGTATAGAGATAAATGGCTGTTCAGAGAGTCTGATGGCTTCTGTGGCACATGATCTCACCTGCATGTATACTAACTTTTACAAGGGCTTTAAAAGTATTTTATTTCTCTTTAGTATGCTTATGACACCAAAAAGATCTAAAGCCTTAGTTCTAACGGCACCTACCTGTTCCCTAGAAGGAGGACTACTAATAGCCAGCAGTAGCTGCAGTTTATTGAGGGCTCCATGTGCCAAGGACTATACGATAAGCTCTGTACGTTCACTGACTCACTCATTTTCATAAATCTCTGTGAAGTGGTTAACTGTGACGCTATCAGCGCCATATTATGGGTGGGAGACTAGGACATGTGATAAATGTGTAAATTGCCCCATCCCTCCTGAGTAAAGTATTTAAACTTGACTCTTTCATCAGGCCAAATAATAGTTATTATATATTGAAGAAAAGTAAGTTTATAACTTTTTTATCTATCACTATTTCGTGAATTTGCATACACCTATGTTTTATTCTTTTAAGTTGTCAAATTGATGTCTGTATTTTTACTAGAAATATATCATAACAAGAATACTTTATACCCTTGTGAGGGTATAAAGACTAATGCTCGTGATAACAAAACAAATCAGATTATATAATATAAACTTAGTAACCACAGTCCTTTCCTAATACAGATCCTTCATTTCCATCCTACCTTGCCTGATATATATATTTATTTTTTAATATATCTTTATTGATTTCAGAGAGAGGAAGAGGGAGAGAAAGAGAGAGAGAGACATCAATGATGAGAAAGTCGTCATTGATCGGCTGCCTCCTGCACGCCCCCCACTGTGGATTCAGCCCGCAACCCAGGCACATGCCCCAACCAGGAATTGAACCACGATCTCCTGGACCCTAGGTGGATGCTCAGTTGCTGAGCCACGCTGGCCAAGCTTTTTTATTCATTTATTTATTATTTATTATTATTATTGCCTGATATTTTTAATGTCACAAACTTATTTTAGAGAACTGGTTACTGTTATTCAAGTGCTACTTACTTGGGATTGCTTATAGGTAAATAGTTTTCTGATGTTTCCAAAATTTATGTATTCTCTGTTGGGTGGTTTGGGGTTTTTTAATTTTTCCCTTCTGTGGATTGGGGACTGAATTTCTGATTATAATAATATGTGTCTTTCTCTTAGGCTGACATTATGGATATTAATGAAATATTTAAAGATTTAGGGATGATGATTCATGAGCAAGGAGATGTGATAGGTAAGCCCTGCTAATTAGATTTCGTGATGTGTGAGCAAACTACCTGTAGTTTACCTGTGGTTACTTCTCAAGCAAGAATAACTGCTCTCTCTCTGTCTTTTCATTCCTCTGGAATCAAAAGCATAGTCTACAGCAGACAAAGCATCACCCTTGGTATTATCTGAAAGAGATCTCATTTTTGGCTCCTAGCAGTTGAAATGACCAGACTTATTTATTTCAGGATACTCAAATTTAATCAGGGCCTACTGCTGAGACCATGGGAGGCACCACACGACATCATTCTAGCTCATTTCCAGGACCTCTGGTTTTAGTCTTATACCAATTGAGTTCTTATCACAGTAAGGACTTTGGAGGAAATTTGTGCTATTTATAATTGTGCATGCTATATTGCCCTTTAGATTAGAGGGAGTAGGTAGCTCTTTGTCCCAGCATTCATTCTGATTGCTTTTAGGTAGATTAATTTAGTAGCATTACTTAGATGCTCAGAATTCTTTTTTTTAATTCTTAAAAATAAATCAGTCACTAAGGTTCCCTTTAAGTTTTAAATGTAATAGTGGTTCATTTAAGGTGTAATTGGCAGTACTGATCAGGGTCCTGATCATTTTGATCATTTGAAATATGAAAATACATATGTTTTGAAAATGTATATCATACGGTCATCAATTGGATATTGATGTGGGCGATAGGGTTAATAGGAAAAGACTGAAGAAAACATCAGCGGGTCAGGGACTAAAATATATGTGAGGAATGAGAAGAAAAGACCATGAGCCATACAGATGTCTGCCACAAGAAGGGGTAGGTGAGTTTGATAGCACAAGCTTTAAAACTAAGAGCTCAGGCTGTCAGAATGACAGTGCAAATGGTTCCAAGTGAGACTGTCTCAAAACTGAGTCAGTGAGTGGTCTCATGCTGCAAAGCCGCACCTGCTCCAGGCCATAAGAGGGTGAGAATTGTCACCGTCTGAGAGGGCTGTGTGGGCCCTCAGGGAGGGCTAGGTTCCCGCACAGAAGTGGGTTGGTGATGGCCACAGAGCGGACGACAGCTCTCAGTTCTCTATAGGCACCCAAATATAAGTTCAGATGGTAATATCAGCCTTTGAATAATGAACATGTTTAACCTTACCTTGAGTGAAGTCTAGTGGTTTGTGCAGCTCTTCCACTGTCGCATCAACAGGTGTTGAACAGTTGTGTGTTTTCTTTTAAAGACAGCATAGAAGCCAACGTTGAGAATGCAGAGGTACACGTTCAGCAAGCAAACCAGCAACTGTCGAGGGCATCAGATTATCAGGTAATATATTAGCTGTAATAAATTGTTTATAACTCGGACTGTGCGTGTGTAATCAGGTGTAAAGTGGCTGGGGATGTTGAGGTTTGAAATCCCATGACAGACAGGTCAGAAATGTGCCCATCCGTGTAAGACGGGGTTTAGCTTGATTGTTTTCCAGGTTGAACCAGATTCATGGCCACAGGGACAGGGACTTGAATGTTTAGAGTCCTGAGGGGAGCTTGGGGACCTCCAGGCTTTTCTGACAACCTTTGTTTCTTACTGTTTCCTTCTACCTTCTCTTCCCTTTTTTGTCAATGACACTGTGGACTAAAGAGGCAAGGACTTCTTTCTACAGAGATCTGCTCAGTTCCTAGGGAAATTATTTAGCTTGGAGCGTCCTTCACTTAGTTGTTCAGCATGCCCTTCACTAGGAATAAATTGACTTCTTAAGTAAATCAGGTTAATATAAGGAGTCCATCTGTATGTGTCAAGTATAACGTATATGTAGACTTTTGATGATCAACAAGGATAAGGCCAGGCTTTTTGGAAACCACTAAATCCCACCCTAAGATTGGACTTCCCTTTCCAAACTTCATTTTTGTTGTTGTTGTTGTTGTCCATAATTATTTTCTCAGACCTTGTTACCTTCTTATAAAATATCTAAGATTTGCATCATCTTAGTTTAAGTTGCTTTCCACTTTTTTCACTAACCATAAAAGTTCCCTTTTATGTCAATGCCATTTTTTTACTGGGCAGATGACTGCATGTTCAGTGATCTGGAGAGAACAGAGCTGTATAGAGAACGATGAGTTACAGCATATTGTATTCACTGATGGAGTAATCGTGTTTACCATCTTTACGGACGTGATTCAGACATGCACCTCTGCAGATGAAAGTCATTATGTCATAGGCTGTATTACTAATAGACAGTTGAACACACACCACATGGTAATCTGTAAATGCCAACAGTTATAACTGCTCCAGCATAGTGTTGAGCAGGATTCGTCAGTGACTGGGTTTACATATTATTTCATTTTGCTTTTGGACTTTGGGGATGTGGGTATATAAAAGTTTTACTTTTCCTCTTCCTTGTGAAAGGGAAAGCCTGCAGCCACCCTGGGGAAAAGAAACATCTTCCCAGGCTGCACCTCCAAAACCGGAGCTGCCCTTGTGCTTAACCCAAGGCCCTGCAGTGATGAGTAAAGCATGCAACGCAGGTCCTAGGAAAAGGGCCGCTTCCAATAGTCCTACGGGAAGCCTGATAATAGGCTCCTGTCTTTGCAAAACAAGGTGCTTCTAGATAGGATAGGTGGACTGTTAAGGAAGTCAATAAATGCTCTCATCCCTACAGCACCCCAAGGACCTCACCACCCAACCCTAGGGAGGCTTCCCCGGGCAACAGCTATACTATAGTGGAATACCCGAGAATGTTCTAAAGGTGCATTACATGTGTCTGTGGCGACCAAGCAGGGTCTGGGCAGATACGTAAGCCTGATATTGGAACTTTAGAGGAATTGTGTTTCATATATAGAGTATTCAGTTGAAAAATTAGATGAATATGTGGAACACTGAAAGTATTCATGGTTTTTAGCGTAACTTCAGAGTCAGAAACATATCTTTTTGTAAATTTAATGGTGCTTCTGGTTGATACAAAGTAAATTTACAAATTTTTCTACTCTACAAGAAAAAGGATTCCTGCATGTTGCTGTGAGATACACAAGCCATTAAAGAAATCTAGAAACCTACAACTGGGCCAGGAATGAAGAAAGGAACAAAATTCTTAACCTTTATATTTTAAATGACTGTATCTTACTTTTTTTGCCTCTTTGCTTTTTATTTGTATGTTGAGATTTTGAATGCAGTTTTCATGAGTATTTTGGAAACTAATAAATTAACATTGGGGAAAATTGCCACACGCACTTGCTGATATTTTCAAAGAACTCATTTTGACGAACAGCTTTTAAAAAAGTGTCGTTTTCAATTACAGTTGACAATACAATATATTAGTTTCAGTAGCGATTTGACACTTATTATATAATTTACGAAGTGATAAGTCTAGTACCCATCTGACACCACACGTATTTATTGCAATATAACTGACCATATTCCCTGTGCTGTACTTCGTATCCCCATGACTATTTTTATAACTGGCAATTTGCAGAACAACTTTTTGGTGAAAGTTTTAAAATGTATAAGCTTTTAAGCTACTCTTGTTTTCATACATAGGTAACCTCAGTCTAATGCTTAAATCAGTAACTTTTCTTTTTCTGTCGTCTACCCCAGAAAAATTACCAACAAAATTTAATAACTACCCCTTGAATTACCCCATTAACTCAAGAAGAATATTTTTGAAAAAATAGTTTCATGTGTTTTAAAGAGATTTTTAAGAAGCAAAAAAATACAGCCAAGAATTTGGGGGCAATAAATTACTATTGATCTTACTCTAGAAATGAACCAAATGATTTTCAGTTGCTATGGTGATGCTTCACTGCATTTGTAAACATGTTTTTGTTTTTGCATCTGCAGCGCAAATCCAGAAAAACCCTGTGCATCATCATTTCTCTCCTTGTCATCGGAGCTGTAATTATTGGGGTCATATTGGGAGTGAAAGGCTAAAATTATAAAGGAGCACACTGTTGCACTACTTTGTCTAAATTATGTAGGAAGGCTCCTGTAATCATGGTTTTTTTATTGTTGTTTTAAAGGTATTGCATAAAGGGTGGTTCCCATACTTTTGTTTTTATTTGTGGGGATGTTTCCTTGGGATTAAATCTGGTATTTTCTAATACTGAACATTTTTCTAAATATTAGTGCTGGCATAAAACTTCCATGATTTTTGTTCTAATAACTCTTAGTTTTTTGCCTACATTGTTTATGTCTTTCATGTATAATTTATTTATCCTGTTGGCTTAGTTTTTGATTATAAATTAAAGGTGTGTGTGTGTTCTGTGGGCTTCTGTCTCTCTGTCACAAGCACCCAGTGTAACAAGCACCCAGATTTGTGTTTCTTCAATTAAAAATCTTAACTTTAATTTTGATTCTGGCCAGCAAAGGAAATATTCTTAGTAACTTAAAAAAGTAACCTGTTTGTGTTGGCTTTTTTTTTCTTCTGGTTTATACCAGCACAAATTTTCTGTTCAACTTTTATTGTTAGTCTTCTCTTAAGACCCTTGATTAGTCTGAATGACTGAATGAAGTCAGTGAATAATTTCCTACTATATTCTATATACCTGATGTGTATAATATACTAAGCACTTGCTGTAGATTGCCTAGTGATATACTAAGGATAGATTGCTGACATTTCCTGGGGAATGTGTAGTCACTATAAATGTTTAATGTGATTTGAAAGAGAGTATGACAAATCAATACCTATTGTGTTAGAATTCTAAAGATCCCAACCTGTTATTCTGCTGTGCGTTTCCACAGCTGTTATAATGGAAATTAATGATCTTTCCTTACATCCTATAGAATAATGGTCACATTTGTATCCTTAGGTCAAAATTGTTGGGGAGGTAACTGTTCCACAATTGATGTTTTTCAGCACCCAGACTTAAAATGTAGTCCTTACCTTGGGTACCATTTTGTACCATCCTTCATTGGAAAAGGAATTGGTGTTTGCCAACTAACTCACTTGCCTTTTAAGTCACTGTTGTTCCAATGCACTAATCTTAATACTATACAGAGGATTATCTTCATTTATAGTTTGTATTTTATAATGTTCTTACATAGCAGTTTGATAGCGAAGACATGCAAGCTGTGAGTTTCAAATGGGAACAATAAAATATTAAGTAACTAAAGAGTACATTTGCAATCAAAATAAAGATGATTTGAAAAGTGTCTGGATAGTTCTATTTCATGAGGAATCTGCTTCCATGGGACTGACACTTGACACTTAACTCCCATTTTTTTGACTGCTACCCGGAATCCTAGCAGAGGGGATTAAAATCGCACATGAGGGCCATTCTCCATATTTCTGGAGTATGTTCCTCAGTTTTTATTGGCACTCTTAAAACGTTTTGCCACCAATAGGTAGAAACTGCTTTGAATGTCAGTAAAACTCAATTTTTCTACAAAAGAGACTGTAGAAAACTTTTTTGTGAGTGGGTGATTAGAAACTTTGAGACTTTGTGTTTACGAGAATCAGCTTGCTTTAGTGAACGGGATGGGGGGGCAGGGAGAATTCATACTCTACCTGTTCTGAAGTCAGTGCGGGCCCGTCAGGCGTTTTCTTTGTACGTGCAGAGAAGCTCGCTATTTCATGTAATGTACCAGTGGGGCTTTAAAAGTCCCAGTGACTTTCAAAATCACTTCAATTTTTTTGCCACAGTTGTACTTGATAACTGTTACTGTCATCAAGGCAAATGCATTTACTCCTACTTATTTCACAGTAAGTTCCCAGTAACAGCAAAATCAATTTTTTGGCATGATTTTAGCACCATTATTTAAAGTATAGTATTTTATAAGTGATTTTAACTGGGACACCCATCAATAACTAAAACCAGGAACTTCAGTGGCTTGCATTCTTTTAAGAATCATTAAATTTGCAGGGGAAATTTGCACAAAATATTTGGGACACAAAGAATAATCCTGATTAGAAAAAAATAAAATGAAAAACAGTGCAGTAGCCACATTTTTAAAATTCTTGAAGTTTTCCTTTAAGTTAGTTGTAGAATCACTTTGAAAGGTGGCAAAGCTTACACTATAGAAAATAAAATTAGAATTGTTTTAATGACTATCAACATTTCGGGATCTGAGGCAAACTGAGTCTCAAACTGAAGGCATTTCCTCATCTAATGCACGCATTGTTCACGTTAGTGTGCTCCAAACATGCTGGAATGACGCAGACTGAGGTTAACCAGCTTTTTTACTTAAATTGAGTGACAGTGTGGCGTGAAGTATTTGGCCAGTGTATTGGTTATTAAATATTATGAAAATGTTTTGTTTTTGCACAGTGGTTGATGGTAAAAGAATAACTGGTGTCATTTCAATATAATGCAGCTTGTTTTTTTAGTGGGCATGGGATCGATTAAAAAAAAATGTAGCTATGGGTACAGATGGACCTCGATCTAGGACAGCAAACCTTGGACACAGCGTCTGGAGTCAGGCCCACTGAGCACACCCGGTTCCCATGGCAGCGCCTGCATTGGTACTGAGAACACTGCTTCTTGAAAAGGTCGCCGCTGAGTCCTTCGGGGTCTTCACCGCTTTTGTTAAAAATGGTAAAATTTTGTACACAAAAAAAGTGTTTTGAAATACCAGTCTTTTTAGACAAATTTATAATGAAAAAAGAAATGACTTTTGAAGACTTCTTGTTCCACAAAATTAGTCTGTAGTTTAGCAAGGAAAGTGCAGAATAGCTTTTATAGTTGGTGTAATTTTTGTTTCATTATGTAGAAAAAAGAATGTTATAATAAAAGACAAGACCTGTATAAAGAAAATAAAGTCATTGTCCACTTAATGAAGAGGGTAACTTATTCAGCATTTATTTTTTTGAAAGGCAGAATTGACTAGCTTTTACACATGACCAGGTTGCTGCAATAAAAATAAAATTTCAGAATGGGATGAAGAGAGTTTGTGTAAATGTGAGTTAAGCGACATTTTTAGTTCATTGGAATGTGATAAAAAAAATTTTCGTTAGTGGTAAATACCATCAGGCATCTTAAACAAAACATAAAGTTGTATATTTTCATGATTCAGTTAATAAAAACAAAAAACTGACCTCTGGATCTCAGACCTCTTTAGAGGTCTTACCATAAGATTTGAGCAGCGTGACGTCTCAGCAAGGAAATACACTTGGTAAAAACACCAGTAGGAGCCGAAACGTACATGGTACCACTTCTTTGACAAAATGCATCACATCTCTACTGAACAAGTGTCCAGTCATAGTTCATAAATCAATGAAGAGAAGACCATTTTCCCCACGTATTTAGGACTTTGTGTCCTAAAACACTAACATAGGAAGTGGTAGAGAGACTGCCTGGATGTAAACATGCAGGGTCATTTGTCTTGATTTAGCTGGGTTTCCAAAGTCAATAGACACCATGAGGCAGTGTCTCACTCATAAGTTAACAAGACACTGGGAAAACTCGTTTCCCCTTAATGGTAATTTAAACTATTTTAACATTTCTATCAGGGCTCAGTCAGGAAAACAGGCGCTTGAGGTAAGTGAAAGGGGTTTCAATATGCGGCCTGCAGAGCTTCCACCAGCATCAGAAGGGCGGGCAAGGGAAGGTGAGTGCAGCAGCTTCGAGCGTGGATCTCAGGAGCTGGCCCAGAGGCCCCGAGTCTCCGAACACTGGAAGTTCATGCCTCTTCAGCTGGTAGCAGTCACACCAGTTGGTCTCAAGACGCTGCCACCAGCCTGCTTGGCTGTTGATAGCTCCAAAGCAGGTGACCTGCAAGAGATCTAGAAGCTGCCTCAAAGCACATGTCTGCTGCCGACCTACACTTGCAGCCTCTCCGTTTCTCTGTCTTTTCAACCTCCTGGGAATACCTCTCTGATTCACTCTGACTTGGAACCAGAGCCTGGAAAATGTAGTTTCTGGCTTCCTTGCAATACAGCAGACAGACTTCAGAAGGAGGGGGCAGTGATGTTGAGGTGACAAGAGACTGCCCAGCACAGTAGAGAAATACTGAAATGTGGAAAGACTCTAAACTACATGAAGCTGAAAGCCTCCCAGAATTTTCTTTAGAATGCACTCAAAGCTAATGCATTACAAATGCTCCTGGCAAAATGCTCTTTAAAATGTGTCTATCCCGGCCAGGCATGGCTCAGTGGTTGAGTGTCGACCTAGGATCCAGGCGATCGGGGTTTGATTCCCAGTCAGGGCACATGCCTGGGTTGCGGGCTCGATCCCAGCAGGGGGCGTGCAGGAGGCAGCCCATCAGTGACTCATCATTGATGTTTCTATCTCTCTCCCCTTTTCTCTCTCTGAAATCAATAAAGATATATTTAAAAAAATGATGTGTCTAATTTAACCCTACTCTATCTCTTAGCAGAAAAGAATTTTGTTATCAAAAGGGAATAAAGAACATACCTTCTTAATGGCTCATTTAATCCATTTTTAAAAATTCAGATACTGTGTTAATATGTCCATCTTAATGCTGGGTTTTGGCAATAGTTAACATGAAAATTGTGTAATGTCTTATTTTTCTCCAACTAATCCTAATTTTAAGGGTAGAAATAGAACTGAATAACTGACACTCTAAATAGGTTTTTATAGACACTGTTGCTTCTGGCAGGTTTTTAAGAGGTTGGTCACTTAATTACTCGGAGTGGGATTCCTGTAGGTTTTGTGCAGTGATGGCATTTCTGCTTGAAATGTAAGAGGCAGAAGGCAAAACCAGATTTCCTGTGAGTTGTTACACACATAACACCCCTGCTTGTGTTAGAGGGAGTCTGCTAGAACTGAACTGAGTCTTTAAATAAACTTGAAAGGGCCTTAATTCCCACTTTGGCAAACCCAAAGTACAAATTTTTAAGTGTTTACTGTAAGTACTGTTTGACAGTAGTTGCTAACTCCAAAACCTATTAGCGTTGGTGGAAAACTTAGAAATGCAGTCATTGAGCCTCAACAAAGATTTACTGATACTAGTTTCGATTTCTAATGTCTTCTGAGTTTTATATCAGCTACTTCATGGTAGATCTGAAATACAGGAATCAGACCAAGTCAAAGGGAGCTCAGTTTACATCTCTCAAAACTAGACATTTAACCCAAGAGGGAGATACAAGCTTTAAGTAACTTGCATAGCTGAGGGCCTGATCGTGGAAAGCTTTCACATCAAAGCTGATCCCTCTCTCAATAATGATTCTAGAAACAAAAACCCAAATTAGAATTTAGTGGAGGAAATTGTATTTTAACTTTTTCCTGTATTATGGTCATTTTAAGTTCATTTAAAGGCATTTTCAGTGTACCCGACCACATCCAACCTCTTTCCAGTGCCAAATTTAATTTTTAATTTCCCCAAAGGTTACCATAATATTAACATTTAATTACTATTTTGTGGTGGGCTATCTAGTAAGGCTGCCATCATATATCATTTAAATTAGTTCTAAGATGCAACAGGATATTCTAAATTAGGGCTACCCTGTTGTCTCTGTATCTTTCCCTGATCTATGATCAAACATTTTTCTTAGTAATTTAGAAGTTTTCTATGTTATATTAAACTTTTATCAAGCCCAGGAATATAGACAACTAACCCGTACTTTCCTTTGAAATGGCATGAACATTTAAAATAAGGAGCCCGTTCTCTATAAAGTGTAAAATAGGTATAACGCTAGTATTTTAAATAAGCTTATATTTTGACATAAACTTATATTTTCAGTTGTAAGAAACAACACAGAGATCCCACTCATGTACCTTTCCCCCAGTTTCCCCCAGTGGTAACATCTTGCAATATCGCAACAGGATATTGACACTGATACTGTTAAGATGCAGAACACTTCTGTACCGAACATTCCAGCAAGGACCCCTCATGGTGCCCTTACATCGCCACAGCCACCTTGTTTCCACCCCCACCCCTCACTCACCCTTGGCAATCATAATCTGTTCTCCATTTCTATAATTTCATTATTTTGTTACTATATAACTGGAATCATACGGTATGTAGCCTTTTGGGATTAGCTTTTTTCACTCAGCATAATGCCCTGGAAATTCATCCGTCTTGTGTGTATCAAGTACGTCGGTGTCCGTCCGTGTTTAAGGGCTGAGTAGCACTCCACGGCATGGATGCCTGACTGTTTAACCATTCACCTGCTGGTTGACATCTGGCGAGTTGGGGCTGTTATGAATAAAGTTACCATAAACATTTATATACAGATTTTTGTGTGGACATAGTCTTAATTTCCCTGGGATAAATGCCCAGCAGTGCAGTTGCTGGGCCATATGGCAGTTGATTTGCTTAGTTTTTAAGAAATTGTCACACTGCCTTCCAGAATGACTGTGTCACTTTACATTCCCGCCAGTGATGTGTGAATGATCCAGTTTCTTCACTTCCTTATGCATCTGGTGATGTCACTATTTTTTTATTTTAGTTATTCTGGTAGCTGTACAGTGATACCTTACTGTGGTTTTTGTTGTTTGTTTTTTTTAAATATATCTTTATTGATTTCAGAGAGAGGAAAGGAGAGGGAGAGAGAGATAGAAACATCAATGATGAGAGTCATTGATCGGCTGCAGCCCGCAGCCCGGGCATGTGCGCTGACCGGGAATCGAACCCCGACCGCCTGGATCCCAGGTCGACGCTCAGCCGCTGAGCCACGCCTGGCCGGGCTCTTACTGTGGTTTTAATTTGTACCTCCCTAATGGCTCATGATGGCGAACTTTCATGTACTTATTTGGCACCTGCATTTTTCAGTGACGTGTTTCTTCGTGTCTTTCCCTTTATTTCTAATTGGATTGTTTATATTTTTACAGTTGAGTTCTGAGTGTGTTTTTAAAATGTATATTCTAGATACTAGTCCTTTGTAAATCAAGTTGAAAGTATTTTCTCCCAGTCTGTAGCTTGTCTTTTTAACAGTCTTTCACGGAGCAAAAGTTTTTAATTTTTATGCTGCCTAATTTGTCAATTTTTCCTTTAATGGATCATGCTTTTGGTATCAAAAACTCTTTCCCTAGCCCCAAAGATTTCCTTTGTTATCTTATGTTCTTTTATAAAAGTTTTATAGTTTTACAATACTTTTAAGTCCATTTATTCTTTGAGTTAATTTTGTATGAAATGTGAGACTTAGGTCTAGGTTCATTGTTTTGCCTGCGGATATCCAATTGTTCCAACACCATGTTCGTTATAAAGGCTCTCTTTCCTCCATTGAATTGTTTTTGCTCATCTGTCAAAACCAGTTCGACAAAAATGAGTTGCTGGGGAAAAAATCAGTTGAACATATTTGTGTACATCTATATCTGGGTTGTCTGTTTTATTCCATTGATTTATGTGTCTAAATCTTCACCAACACCAGACAGTATTGATTCCTCTGTTTAATGCTTGAATTCAAAAAGACTGCTTGCTTCTACTTTATTCTTTTTAAAAATTATTTTAAGTACTTAAGTCCATTATCTTTCCATGTAAATTTTAGAATAATCTTATCTACACATATATCTTGCTGGGATTTTGATAAGAATTATGTTAATCCTATAGAGCCATACCTGGGAGATATTGCAGATCTGCTTTGGGGCCACCACAATACAGTGAATATTGCAATAAAGCAAGCCACTCTATTATTTTTGTTTCCCTATGCATATAAAAGTGATATTTACACTACACTGCAGTCTATTAATAGTGTAGTAGCATTGTGTCTAAGAAATGCACATACCTTATTTAAGAAATACTGCATTGCTAAAAAATGTTAATCATCGCCTGAGCCTTCAGCAAGATGAGTGATACTCTTGCTGGTGGAGGGTCTTGCTTTGATGTTGGTGGCTGCCATCTGCCCAGGGTGGTGGCTGCTGAAGTTTCCAGTGGCTGTGACAATTTCTTA